TGTCCCCTGGCCCATGGGTATGGAAGTTCCTAGTCCTCTAGGCCCTTAACTTCTTCCCCAATAATTTTGTCCAATTCATGGGCCTTAACAAGGACCAAATTAATTACACCTAATCTAAAAGATGTCACCAATATAGACTAAAGGAGTAAAAGTCCAAATAAGGATTTGAACTTTGTAATTTTTTTTATTTAAGGATGTAAACTTTTTCAGTTTCTAAATAAAGCGGTTAAGTTTTAATTTTTTTTTAATTAAGGATGTTGTTGTACCTATGATTTTGATGATTACAAAACACATTTGAGTGACTAATTGATTTATTTAAGTGTGTAGTTAAATTGCCAATATACTACAAAGTAAGCAAAATGAGATTGCATTAAAAAGGGCTCAAAGGGTAAAAATATGCAGAGAGCCGGCTTAAGAAAATTGCAACCGGCTCTGGGAAGCAAAAATGTAGAGAGCCGGCTGCAGATTTTGTTGAGCCGGCTCTATAGGCCAGAAATTCAATTGCTGTTTTGGCGCACGTGGAAAATGGAAGTAGAGTAGGCTCCAACTTTGCAGCCGGCTGTGATGGTGCATTTAATGCACAACAGTTGAGTTATTTGAAGATTATTTAATGTGTTTAAAGTTGGAATCCCAAAGCCGGCTCTAGGCTTTGCAACCGGCTGTGGAGGAAAACAGATTGTGCAGGAATCCCGCAAAGCCAGCTGTAGAAATGGTGAGCCGGCTGTGCAGAGCCGGCTCTAGGAAGCTGAGCCGGCTCTCTTGACAATCCTGCAACTCGAGCTTTGCGTCGTGCAGAGCATTAAATAACCCCCAACGGCTAGTAACGGCTATTTTCGACTATGTGGTTATAAATATGGTTGGTAGAAGATCTGAAGGAGGTTAAGAGAGCATTGTATTGAATATCTTTACCTAACTACATTAGTTTTAACTTGAGTTTTTTATCTTTGAGAGATCTTTACATGTAATCCTCTTCTTGTTCTATTTGTGAGTGATCTTGGGGGTGTGATTATTCCTTCAAGAGTGATTTATTGAGAGGATTCGTGGGGTTTACATTGTAAAGGGGTGAGGTTTGAGAGAAATACTCATCTTCTTGTAAAGGATTGAGTGGCTCCTTTAAGCCACCATTGTTTTTGTTAGTGGAGAGTGTGGAGAAAATCCTTGGTGAGTGAAGCCAAGGTAGAGGACTAGGCTCCAAGTGGTTGGACCGAACCTCTATAAAATCATTGTGCAAGCTCTTCTTCTCTACTCTCTTTATTTTTGGTTTTGTGGTTGCAAAAAGGGGAGAATTTTTGGAACTCCAATTCACCCCCCCTCTTGGAGTGCATTGAGTCAACAATTGCTATCAAAGCAAGGGCTCCAATTTGAAGGTTTAACCACTTAGGAGTTGATCGGGGATGGCTCAATTTCAATCTTCTCAACCACTTGAAAGTTTGTCTACCACTAAGCCTCCTTTCTTTGATGGTACTAATTATAATTATTGGAAGAATAGGATGAAGGTCTTCATGCTTGTAAATGTGCCCAAGGCATGGATTGTGACTATGAAAGGTCCATATGTGCCTATGAAAGTAGTTGGGGAAAGTGAGGTGCCAAAGGAAGAAGTTGAATGGAATAATGAAGACTTGGTGAAGATCATGATCAATAACAAAGCAATCAATATGCTTCAATGGGCTCTCAATCCAACGGAATTCCATAGAGTATCCGGATGTGATACGGCCAAGGAGATGTGGGACATATTGGAGGTAACACATGAAGGAACAAGCCAAGTGAAGGAGTCAAAAATCAATAGACTCATTTACATGTATGAGCTTTTCAAGATGAAACCGGAGGAGAGCATTCAAGATATGTATACAAGATTGAATGATATAGTCACCAATCTCAAGGCTCT